CATCTCTATCTCTATCTCTATCTCATCTCTATCTCTATCTCTATCTATCTAAACGTGATGATACCTCCCGCCTACCAGACATCTGGAAACCAGCCCTAGTCAACAAACGAGCCCCACCCACCATCCAGGCCGTTACAACACAAAACAACAATGTACACATAGCCAGCACCAATCAGCACCAATCTACCAATCATGATACAACCACACAACCAATCATTCCACTTACTGAAATAAATACATAACACACATACATACAAACACACTCACACACAAACACACACACATACATATAATATACATGCACACACACGTACACATACATACATACAGTCCTGTGGGGAAAAAATAAACTCTCTTTGAGTTCTATGTTTCAAGAGAGCTGTGCATAAACAAATGCCCAGAAACCTGAATGAAATGAAGCAATGTTGTAAAGAAAAATGGGCCAAAGTTCCTCCACAATGATGTGAGAGACTGGTAAACTCATACAGAAAACAATAAATTAAAGCTATTGAATCATAAGATGTACTTAGTTTTTTACACATGGCGTGTCCATTTTGGCTTTCTTTTTGTAAAATAAATGATGACTTGGTGTAATATGTCATATGTTGTTGTAAAATAAATGATGACTTGATGTAATATGTCATATGTTGTTGTTCATCTGAAGTTGTATTTGCCTATTTTCAAGAACTACTAAGAACAGGTGGTTTTTACTATGTCCTGATACATAAAACCATAGAACTCAAAGATGGTGTACTTTTTCACATGAGTGTACATATGTGTGTGCATGCACATACATATACACAAACACACAATTTTTGTTTATCCATTTTTAATGAGCTTTTGGATTTTTAAAATTACCATAAAGGAATTACACCATCTCCACTCATTTAAAATGAACAAAATAGTAGCATAAACCACACCTGCTCAGGATCCCAGCTTCCTATTTCACATTCCACATAGCCCATTTCAAACCACACTTACTCCATTTTTAACCCTCCACCAAATCCCAATCATCAGTACTCTTTGCCCATTAAAGCAGCCTGACTATTGCTTTTTCTCCTAAAGACTAAATAACTCTTCAAAGACATTTGCAAATTGCCTATTTAGTTTTTCTGAGTTCTTAGAAGATATATCTTATTCCCTTTAATTAATCTTTGAATGATATTCAATTTATTAATTTGAAAAATGGTAAAGGATTATACTTCATTTAGTATTTTTTGCATTTCCCCAGAACATCCCTATAATTTGTCCCTGGCGTTTAACAACATCTAAGAATTAACTGGACTATAACAGTATCATCCGTCTATCCGTCCATCCATCCATCCATCCATCCATCCATCCATTTTTCTATCTTTCTATATATCTATCTATAGACTGACACTATTTTTTCTAATATTTTCTGCCTTATTTCTTATTAGGATTGTAATTACACTGATAGTAACAGCAAAGTTTAACTTAATTAGTATGCATTTATAGAAAAAGTTATAACTTTTTAAAATGATGCTAAAAGGGACATAAAAACACTGGAAAATTATATATTAATGTTGGAAGTGGGCCATAAAGTCATTGTAAGCTCACTTCAGACTGAGTTGGGCTTAATTTTACCAATGCTTCCTTCTTGCCAAAATTATTTTCACATGCAAGAGTACAGCATTGCAGCATTTCAGACCAATGCACTATCTCTAAATTTCCTGAACAATATCTACAAACCTCTATGTATTTAAAAAAGAAAAATATTAAAAAGGCCAAGCTCACAAAATTGTGAAAATACATGAGATTTGAGTGTATTTAACATCTCCACAATCTCAGATTTCACCTAGCATTAGCCAGCAATAATTTTGTTTGTTTTGCTTTGCTCATCAGTTCTGACTAGAAAGCTAGTCAACATTTACCATATCTTATATAGTCCTAGAGAATCCAAGCCCAAAATAAAATTCAAGGGGAAAAATTTGGGAGGTGGAATATGGTAGTGCAGCTTGTGTAACAGCTCTGTAACATGGGCTACTCTAGGGCCCCCGAAAGACTGCCCATGCTCTGCACCAGTTGAAGCATCTGAATGTTGCATGAGTGCATTGCAGGAGTCCAAGCATGAGATGGCAAGGCTTGAATGTCTGAGCACAGGGACTTCTGATCCAGGAAAGACTGCAACTGACATACAATCTGAACTGTGCAATGCTCTCCTAGCTGTGAGGAGCAGGAGTTGAGAATCTGTGAGAACCGCCAAGTTGCGAACCAGGTCCGTCTAGGGTAGCATAATCCCAATCAGAACTAAAGATGTCAAATTCCCAGATATTGAAGCTCTATCTACCCAAAGCTATTTGGTCCTGCTAGGATTTAGATGAAGCCTTAAGTCCAGGCCCTCAAAGCATCACAAAAGGTCAATGACATCAATACTTGAGTCACTGAGAATGGATCCTGGTGAGGAATCCTTTACATTCAGGATTGCTATAAATTTATCATTTATATTTATAATAATCTATTTTGTTCATTATATAATAACATTGGTAATTTATAGTAATTTTGTTTTATATAACTTTAACAGCAATCCATAGAGGTGAAGAACATGGTCTGCAGGTCTTATTTTCACTTTGAAATATTAAGTGGCACATAACTGAACACTACAAAACTTCAATTATGAAATTCGATAATAAATTACATATTAATAAAAGAATGAAGTATCTTTTTGAAACACGCACCTTCAGTTTGGATCCATGAGATACAGGGCGAAACCCATCTGGTCCAGGTGGGATGAGCAATTCCCATTTGCCAAAATCCATTTTCTTATATGGATGGGAAAATGGATTCCAGTTATCTATAATAATAATTAAAATGAATTAAATAGTAAATATTCATTAAATTGCACAGGCCATATGTAAGAACAGGAACAGACAAATTGACAATGATTTTTTTCTATACAACCCATTACTTTTGGACTTTTCTGCATATTTGAGGAATTATTTTAATATTTGCAGTGCAGTTCCAAAGCAGAACAAGAATTAAATTTTAAGGTAAAAGTGAAATTATGAAAAATGAAATAATACAATTCACAATTCCCTAGTTATTTAAGAAATAAAGAATTTTTGATATTAAATCTTCATACCCTTTCCACATTTTCTATTCTGCCTCTTCGTGATTCTCTGAAGACCTTGTGCTTCAATTACAAATCTTTCAGTTTTTAGATAACTTTTGGACCCTAGTTTTGCTGAATGTGTAATTTATCCATCATGTAGCCTTGCAATTAGGGAAGAAAAACTAGGTGCAAGGAGTCTACATAAAATAGTTACAATTGTTATCTCAACTCAGAGAGCTTTTGATTTGAGACAAAGAGTTCAGCTGATTTAATCACCTTTAGTACGTCAAAAATATAAATGCATAAATAAAGAAAATAAGTGGCTTGATTAATCTTCTAGCTTTTGGACAAAAGACAGCTTAATTAGTGTCAAAAGGAGGTTCCTTTGTTTAAATCCTATGACTCCAGGAATCATAGAAACCATTCCAGGAACTGTGACTTCTTTAGAATGTCATGTTATTCCATTATTGCTACAATCACTATAATTTTCAAGAAATTAAAGTGATGAATGTTAAATTCTGTATTTAGTTTATAAGAATCTGTGTAAAAATTTACCCATAGCTTTTCAAATAGATATAATATAAATACCACCTCTTTATTAGAGCTTTACCTTACTAATTGTTTCATATTCATGATTTACTAAACTTTTAACAATGTAATTGTTCAATTGCAATACTGTGACTACTCTCTAAATGCTATGAGTATCTCTGGGGTGGAGAGCAAAAAAAAGTGTTAGAAGCATTGAGAGCATAAATATACATAGACTTTTGTTTGAATATGTGTCCTCATGTTTAATGAAAACAAACATAATTTGCAGCAAATACTGGTTTAATGTAGATTATATGATGCAACAAAGAATATGGACTTAAAAATCAGAATATCAAAGATCAATGTAATTGTGCTATAGGGAAAAATGAAGTTATTCCAAAATATACATAAATAGCTCCCACTCGGCAGATGCACCAGGTGGTTTGCTTCATCCCTTCAATCTCCCCAGCAAGTTAAGCAAATGGCTCTTACAGTGGGACAAAAGATGAAGAGAGTTCTGGCAGAATTCAATCTCCAGAATTGCTGATCAGCACTCATGTTGGCCAATCTTAATAATAATCCTTTAGTCTAGTTAAAAAACCACTGTAGTTCAAAAGCTACAGCCCTTTTTAGCATGCTTTCCCAATTTCTTGGTTAAGAACCTACAATCTCATCAAATCATGAGATGGATGGATGCATCTGTATATATTTATATCCTCTTTTTGTATTGTTGGAAATCCAAATACATTATATTGGTTCAATATAATCATATTGTACAAGTATTAGTTCAGATTATTAATGTTCTATTGTTTAGATAACTTAAAAGTATTAGAAATACAGGAATGAGAAAGAAATATTATTATCAGATTAATTAAAAGTGTTACTCTTTTGATACTTTCAAGTCATTTAGGACTCCTGGCAACTGCCTACACTACTACAGTCTATACCAGAGGTGGGTTGCTGCCAGTTTGACCCGGATTGGGCGAACCGGTAGTAGCAGCAGCGGGAAGATTTCAGAAGTGGTCTGCCAGTTTTCTAGAGTTGAGGGAGACTGGTTCAAGGTGCCTAATGTGAGACTAGAACTGTTTCCCAGTTTCTGGTCTGATGCCTTAACCATTATACCAAACTAGCTCTATATTAAACTATCTTTCTATACTATATGTGGTACAATATGAAAAAGCCAAGTAACTTTATGCTTTGACCTTTCCACACTCTACCACATATAGCATCTGATATATATCACATATATCACACAGCATTAGAGTGTAACATTAAAAATAAAGAAACTATAGCAGATTACGTCAATTTATTTGTTGCACAATAAAAGGTTTCAATAGTACTGAAGTCTCTTCTTCTTGTGAATGTGTAGCTGTGTGTATAACATGTATAAATGTTAATAAAAGGAAAACAATATGAAAAAAACAATTTAGCAACTCCACCAATAAATAAAAAGGGGAAAAACTATTGGGGCCCTAAACTTTTGGTACATTTGTTAATTTCCAATATTGTGCATATTGTAGACATTTAAGGCCACTTAAAAGCCATATTGTGATTATATTTACAATGCTGTATGATACATTGCATGTATGAGAACTACAAGTATGCAGCAATGGCAAAACTAATAGTATATATAGATAATACAGAATATATATATATATATATATATATATATATA